ATGTTTTTTATTTTTCAAGTAAATGTCAAATACTACTAATTTGAAAATTCTGACTCTGAATGTGGGGGGTCTCAACAACCCAGTAAAAAGAGTGGCCATTTTGAATTATTTTCGTAGTCATGGCATTCAGATTGCAATGCTTCAAGAAACCCACTTGGTGAAATCTGACATAAACCGACTAACAAATAAATTTTATAAGGTCATAGCATTTTCCTCTTTCTCCAATAAATCCAGGGGTGTAGCTATTATTTGCCGTCGAAACCTTCAGTTTAGATTGTTGGATTGTTGGTCTGATAATAAGGGAAGAATTGCCATGGTAAAGTTGTATATTGAAAGGACAAATGTGGCTTTCATGTCTGTGTATGCACCTAACACTTATGATAAAGACTTTTTTGATTGTTTAACCAAAATAATGCTTGAATTACCCAATTTCAAATTTGTGGTGGCTGGAGATTTTAACGCGGTAGCAGAATTTTCTCTTGACCGAACAGGCCTTTCTCAAAATCTAGATCAGAAACGTGCTTCAGAGGCACTTAAGCAGTGGTATACTGATACTGGGTTGATGGATCTCTGGCGCATGATGAATCCTGGCACTAGGGATTATACTCATAGGTCGGCTAGAAATAAATCATTCTCTAGAATTGATTATTTATTTACTTCTATGAACTGCTTTGAGAACATTTCCGCAGTTTTTCACAACCCAGTCTCTCTGGCTGACCACAAGGCTGTGATCGCTAGTGCCACTTTAACATCACTTCCTCCACGTGCTCCTCGCTGGCGCTTTAATACTACTTTACTGCAAAGTGATGGTTTTAGGCAGCAGTTTATAGCTGAACTAGAAGAGTTTGTGGCTATAAATAAAGGCTCTGTCGCGGACCCCAGAATCTTGTGGGATGCTATTAAAGGTTTTATCCGTAATAATTCAATTCGTTATGCCTGTCACGTCAAAAGATCTAGAACAGCTAGATTGCATATTTTACAAAGTAAACTTAAAGTTTTTGATAATCTATTACAGCAAAGTTATGATGATGACATCGCCATTCAACATGATTTGATTAAAAAAGAGATTAATGATATTCTCAAACGTCAAGCAGAATTCTTAATACATAAAACTAGGCAAAATTACTACTTTAATGGGGCAAGACCAAGTCATCTACTTGCTCTTAGACTTAGGTCAGATGAGCAGTTCTCCGACATCTCATCCATCAGGGACAGTGGTGGGCAAATTTTAGCGGAAACTGTAGGTGTTAACTCTGTCTTTTCTTCCTTTTATTCTAAATTGTATAGTTCTGAGGTACTGCATGATGAACAAACATGTAATAACTTTCTTGAAAACGCCAAATTACCTAGGTTAAGTGATGAAGACCGGCGTAAACTCGACCAACCTATTACTCTGACTGAGCTAAAGGAGGCTGTGTCAGATATGCGTAAACAAAAGTCCCCTGGTTTAGATGGTATACCACCAGAGCTGTACGTAACTTTTTGGGACCATCTTGGACTTTTGATGCTTGATATGGTTCAGGCTGCTTTACAAGTTGGATCCTTCTCAAGAGATGTAAACACTGCTCTAATATCATTATTATTAAAAAAAGATAAGGACCCACAGGAGTGCTCTAGTTATAGGCCCCTGTCTCTTCTCAACTGTGATTTGAAATTTTTTTCTAAAATGTTGGCCCGTAGGCTCCAACCTTTTATGACCAAATTGGTCAACTGTGATCAGACAGGCTTCATTAAATCACGCACTGCCTCAGACAATCTTAGGAGATTACTTCACATAATTCATGGTGCTACAACAACCCAACAGCCCTGTGGTGTTTTTTCGCTTGATGCGATGAAGGCTTTTGAACCGTTTGGAGTGGTGCTACATCTGGTCTTTGTTGCGCTCTTTTGGTCTGGGTCCTGATTTCATAAAAATGATCCAAATATTATATAATGACCCTTCAGCTATGGTGCTAACCGGTAAAATGTGCTCGTCATCCTTTGCTGTAGCCAGAGGCTCCAGACAAGGCTGTCCTTTAAGCCCACTTCAATTTTCTCTTTCATTGGAGCCTCTGGCTCAAACCATACGTTTATCTGATAATATTGCTCCTATTGTACTTAATGGCACAAAACACCATATTTCTTTGTATGCAGATGATGTTCTCCTGTATTTGGGAAACGCTCAGTCAATCCCCAACATACTTTCAATATTTAGTTCTTTCAGTAACATTTCAGGCTACAAAATTAACTGGGATAAATCCGCCTTTTTGCCATTAAATGATAAAATGAGGAATTCCACCTTGCCTACCATTGTCCCTGTTGTGAAAGAATTTAAGTATCTTGGAGTTGAGATCTGTTCATCCTTAAATACTATTGTAAAAACAAATTATGAAGGTGGCCTATCCAAAATTTTAGGTGATCTTGAAAGATGGTCGGCATTGCCAAATTCCCTTCGTTCGCGTATTTCAGCAATTAAAATGAATATACTCCCACGAATGAATTTTCTTAGCTTCATGATTCCGTTACCACCTCCACCTCATTTTTGGAATAGGCTTCATAAAGCCGTCAGTAAATTTATTTGGAATGGGAAGAAGCCGCGCCTAAAGTTCTCCACAGTTCAACGCAATAGATCAACAGGAGGCATGTCACTGCCGAATTTCAAATTATATCACTGGGCCTTTGTACTTCGGCCTCTAGAAGCTTGGTATGACACTTCCTTGGATGTATCTTGGCGGCCAATAGATGAATCTCTTGCTCATCCTCTAAACCTTCCTGAAATATTATTTGCAAATGTTCCCACTAATAAGTGTTGTACACGTTTTGGTCCTCTTTTATCACACTGTATCGCTGTTTGGCGTTCTGCTGAAAAAGCGTGTGGAATTACAATGAAGTGGAATTTACATTCTCCAATTTTTAATAATGAATCTATTCTTATTAACAAATGTCCTATAAAGCAAACGCAATATAAACACTGGTATGATAAGGGAATACACTCTTTGGGTGATATGTTCGACAATAAGGGCCTCCTCTCATTTGAGGATCTCTGCAGCCGGTTCAATATACATCGTTCCTCATTCTTTTTTTACCTGCAGTTGAGAACTGCTATGAAAACGTATGGAGTACCATGGCAATCTTCTCTTCATGTTCATCCTTTTTTAAAGTTTGTAGATAGATCTGGTATATCAAAAGGTATTATCTCCAAACTATACAATCACCTTTTGGAAGAGTCTTTCATCCCTTTACAACTAGACCCAACCTGGAGAAATGATATTCCCAATTTACCTCTGGATTTTGATTGGGAAAAAACATGGAACTCTGTGCTCTGCTCATCTAAAAACCCAGATCATCAGCAAATACATTTGAACTTCATTCACAGGACCTATATGACGCCCCAAAGACTTTTCAAAATGAAGCTAAAAACGGACCCTAATTGTACATTATGCCACACAAATACACTGGGCACTTATTTTCATATGGTGTGGGAATGCCCAGGTGTTAATTATTTTTGGAGTGTTCTATGCAATAGCTTATCTCTGTTACTTTCATGCAATATTCCTTGTAAGCCACAGGTTTTACTACTCAATGACATGTCTCTCCTTGGCTTGCGGAAAGACAAAGAAAAAATTTTACTTGCTGGTTTGACAGCTGCTAAAAAAATGATTGCTGTTCGATGGAAACCTCCCCATTGTCTTTCTCATCGTCAATGGGTTCTAACATTTATTGACATTGCTTATTTAGAACTATCTACGGCGCGAATCCACTATGCCAAGGAGAAAACAGTCGACCTGTGGAATCGAACGGTGTCTGACTTGAAAGAAACTCTGCTATAATGTATAATTTGGACTGTGGTGCGACCTTCCCCCTATTTGTATTTGAATTTCAATTAACAGCAAATATGATATAGACAGATGTACATTTGCACATTTATATTTTTTCTTGCCCTGGACCGGTATATGAGTGTTGGTTTGATTTGATTTATTTTATTTTCATAGTTGTACAAAATTCAATAAACAATTGATAACAAAAAAACAATACCATATAAAGCAGATGGTTTGGACCCTCACCCAAAACTTTAGAGCAAATAAGTTGTTATCTACAAGACAGTACATTATAGCCACTTAAAGCAGAATTTACTGGAATGGAAAATAACATACTGAAAAATGGCTAAGGCTGAATTCAGTCAGCATTCCAGTTTACTGTTGGTCCTCTCTAATCGGCTCTTTCTGGGCAGTTCCTCCTGGTTAGCCTCCTGGACTGAAGCGTTTAGCCCAGATTTGCACAGAAATCCTTTGACTGTTGTGCTTCCAGTAAAATCTCCCGCAGAGTGTGGAGCAGCAGAGTGAAGTGGTGCCAATTCAAGCGCACCAATGGAGGTCTACCATTTTCAAACATTTCCCCCTTTTTCTCTATAGTACCTATTACTCTGTGAACCAAATAGGAGGCCTGGATGTTGAAATGTTAGGTGGGTGAAGTTTACTCTGAAATCATGTACAAAAGGTGAGTGTGAACATTATCAATTATGTGAAAGTAAATATTATCAACAATACATTTACAAGAGAAAAATAAGTGTTAATCCCCTTTCAACAAAGAGCTATAGTTTTACACCAGGTAAAATGGTTTGTTGCTCGAAGTTGCTCCCAAACAGGTCTGACCACCTACAATATGACCTGCTGTTGGTTAATCAAGGATCTTATATGCATATTTGCGTACATTTCTATTATAAGAATGGCTCTTCCCTGTGCTTTTAAATGCATCTTCTTGATTCTGCAGTTAAACCGGATACTCAGTAGTACACGGTTTAATCGCAGAAATAAAAGGATACTCAATAGTATCCGGTTTACGGGCTTATATGCCAGCATAAATGGAGTAGAAAGGGTTTCATCCAGTCACCTCAAATTGACGTTTTCACATCCCAATTGGTGTGCCCAAGTTAATTTCTTACTTAAGCAACTTCAATTGGACTAAGAGTCATCCGGTTTTCCTCAGTGCTTTGCAAACATACTCGTTGTGCATTCACGTACCTGACGAGCGGTCTCCACAGATGGCACATATGTGTTTGGTGAGGGACAGGGCGGTGCACGAAGGCTGGGGGGGAACCTTCATCACCCCGTTCAGACCCAGCGGGGGCTTTATGTCCTCCGAACTGCTCACCGAGTTCATGGGCGAATTCAACTGGAACATCAGCACATGGAAAGAACAGAGAGCGGTCACTACGACAGGAAAGAAGCAGCGTCAATATCAACACATTTTTAATAAGAACTATGGCTCATTATTCGAACTAGTCCAGTGCTTAGAGAGCGTTGTTAGTCCCTGTAGTACTCCGATAGCAAATGTCACATTCTGTATAACTATAGGTTCCCAGATCCATCTCAATAAAATTAAAGTGAAAATGAAGAAATAATTGCAACGGTTACCAGGTTCAGTGATGTTTTTTCATTCCCACAGCCGGCCAAACAGACAGACAGGCAAATGTTACTTTATTTTATACATACATTTAGCACCACTGAAAGCACAATTTCAATCCAAACAAGTCTGTCCAGCTACTGTATATAACTCTGCATTCTGCTCCTCAGACTTTCAATAAAAAACAGAAATATCCACAAAATTGTGAACATCTAAGTTTTGAAGAGTGGTCGCAACTTGGTGGTCAGGGTCAAGGGAGAACAGGATCTTGGGCAAGAGAATAAAATTTGCTCAAACTTGCATAAATCAGTCCATAACAGCTTGTGTGTACATGGCAAGAGGACAATTGTAATAATTTTGAAAGATGTGAGAAGTAGAATTTTCCCTTCAAAAGACCCATGAATGAAAGCCATACCCCATCCCAGGTCTGAGCTTTTTTCATTCTTATTTTATGTTTTATTGTTAGTTATTTGTGTATGTTTCCGCTGTCTAATGTTTGTATTTAGGTTGATTGTGTCTGGTCTGCCTGCTCCACATCAGCCCCACACTTCAGATGGCTCCAAACAGGAAAGACATTGTGAAGAAAGCACTCAATATATACTAAAAAACTACACTTATACAACCAATAAAATACATTCACTTATACTGATCAGGACTCACACTCATATCTCATATTGCACAATTGTAGTTTTAGCCTTAAATGACGGCTTCATTTTGTTAAGTAAAGGCAGTATGCGAGGGGGAGTGTCAATCAAAACACAGTGGACTGTAGCAGATGGGAAGACGTGGACTTGCACAAGGCTTTTAAAAAACACCTAATGTTTAGTTTTTTGCTAGCTCCACTCGACAGCAGCAGCAGCAGCAGTAGAAGTAGAATCAGCAGCAGCAGCAGCAGCTAAATTAGTCATCTTTGGGGAAAACCATCCCCTCTTCTCAGATCCAAATTTAACACAACGGAATCGTGCTCTGCTCAACCCCAACATCTCTTATTCATGCCCTCTCCCCTAAATCCTCCTACGACAGCAAAAAACACACCCTGATTTTACATTTTGACAAAGCAGCAGAATAGAAAAAATGCAAGAACAATCGAAAAAAAAAAAAGGAAAGTGAAAACATTGTTGATCTAACTTACATGCCCTTTTTGAAAATGCAGTGCGCAAAAGGAGGATGAGTGATAATGAAGGATTTTTCTGTTTTTCCAGAGGATAAATGTTTTAGGGCAAAGTTTAAATTATACGAAACTACTACACGTGCCATGCGGCGAGGGGAGCCATTAGCAGTAAATTACTACATTAAGGAGTCTGTGATAATGATGTGTGCATGCTATTGAAATTCAGATTATACAATACAGATAAATGATTAAATTGCCCTTTTGTGGAAGACTGCAAAAGTAAAGGAACAACATAGCCACAGAATCAGGCAGGGGACATCTTTTGTATCGATCTTTTTATATATATATGTATTTTCACAGGCCAAACAAAGAGCTCTGTAAGTCCTTTTCTTTAACATTCCATCGAACAAGGAGTGGACTTAGTGCCGGCACAATTTTAAGACTTAGGTTGAAGGGAGAATGTTTCAAACCGAAAGTTGAAAGTTGGTACCGTAATTGTCGGAAAATAAGCCGCTACTTTTTTAAACAGAGATGTGTGTAATGTGTGTGTTTTTATTGCTCCCCCCGCGAACGCTAGTGGCGCAGAACAGAATTTGGACAGAGCTCATCCCACCAACTGTTGAATCAAATTGATAGTTCCAGAGCTATTGACACAGCACATATTCCTCATCCTGATGTGTTTATGTGAACGGCGCAGAGAGAGCCAACGCAAGAAATGTGAGGAAATGCACAGGCCCCTTCAGGTAAATGGATCTCTATTCTCATGGCAACACCAGGGATTTTTTCCCAGGCGGTGTGAATAGGGCTTTCCTTTATGAAATGATTTAGAAGCTGCTTCGACCAACTCCTTTTCAAACCTTTGACTGTATCTGTGTCAGTTGTACGTGCCTGTGTTGTGTTTATGTTTTTCAAAATATTTGCATTGTATGTCGGAAGCTAACAGCTAAGGTAACTACGCTAACTGTTTATTGTGGTATTTAGTCAGCAGAGCATTAAACCATGTTGTGTCCAATTTACACCGTTGTCTTTCAGCTTTGTTCTGCTCTATCAACAGGTTTTCATGTTGAAACAGAACTCTTTATTGCGTCCTTTCATGGCTTCAAAATGTTTACTGTTAGGGTAGCCATGAAAAGGTTCTCTTATATTACCATGAAACAACAGCTTAGGCAGTGTGTAAGAGTAAACGGCACCACACGAGACGCACATATGACACAAACAAACATCACATGGCGCTCCAGGGACAGCCACATTGCATGGGGGATGTTTGTATGAAGCTAGAAAATGTCGACTCCAAAATTGACGGGATTTTTGGAACATTGAGACTATATTTGAAAGCACATACAAGATACAGAATGATATTTTGTTTCTCAAATACACCATAAATCTGTGGGGAAGTTCCTCATATAAATCTGAAATAGATTATTTTTTTCTTTTTTAAGCTAATGGTGATTGAATGCACTTTTGCTTTGACATCTAAGTTCAGCACACTTTTTACTCCACCGAAATTTCTCTCAAGTCTGTTCAAAACACACACACACACAATGATCTGTGAGACAACTGGAGCAGTCTCCTGGTGCACCGTACACTACGTGTAGTAGTTTCGTATAATTTAAACATATTTGTGCATTTTTGAGCCCTGCAATGTGGTTCAGGAAGCTCACATTGGGCTCAGCTGAACTGAGTCGTGGCAAAAAGAATTTCACCACACAGCAGATACTACAAGCCCCGCAAGGCATTACAACTGTTCTGCAGAGTTCAAGCAGCCAGACAAGAGCCCTGTGTGTCTATGTATCTTACACAATTTGAAGGGGGAATACAATATTGGGACAACTGCAAACCCAGGGCAAAAATATATATCTCCCAATTATCACAACGTCTTGCCCTAAATCAGGACTGTTGGCAATCCTAAGCTGTGAGTAGGCCACACATGCCACAATAGGCCTGTGTATGTAATCGGTCTCTTGAGAGTGTAGCCTTCAGCTGTTGTAGTTCTTGTTTACACCGACCCACGGAAACACCAAAAACTCAATCAAACTCTCTATCCGCTCATTGATGGCACATACACACATACACCTCCACACAAACACCGAAGGATGAATAGTGCACTTGTATCTGCTTAAACATGCTTTGTATTGATCTAATTTATTTCAACCGTTCTATTGAGTCAGTTATTCCAGCATTTTGCCAGAGTCCTGAAAATGAACACAGCTAAGGTAAATAAGCTCACTTTTTGTATCTTCATAGTTAATGTCAATTGTTCATCATAGATTCTCTAATGCCTTTAATTTGTGTATCCAGTTAAAACCACATAGACTGTACAGCATATCCCTCTAGTCCAGTGTCTCCCAAAGTGGGGTCCGCGGCCCCCTGGTGGGCCGCGTGGGTACTGCAGGGGGGCCGCGGGAGGTCATAAAAAAAAAAAAATAATAATATAATTATTTAATGTTAAATTTATAATGTTTTGTTTGTAATATTAAAATATTTGTGTTCATTATTTGACTTGAATAAGCCACTGTAATCATTTTTGTATTACAATGTTTGTAGCAGAGGCTATTTCCCCAAAATAAAATAACCAGAAGAGCCTATTCTTAATGTTGTCTTCTTGGTTATTATTTTGGGGGGCCACGCAGACCCGTCAGATTTTTAAGGGGGCCTCGGTGTTACTGAGTTTGGGAATGGCTGCTCTAGTCTATAGTTAAAACTTGTTGTTGCTAAATAGAGAGCCATGTCCAAAATAGCGCTGTACTTATTATTATCATTATTATTCTTTCAATACATAAATTTGTTTTTTGTGATGTGGGATGTGGGATCAAAAATGATTCTTTTTTTAATCCTACAGAACATCTTTTCAGAGATGACTTGTTACACATTTGGGTTGTTTGATGAAAAATACTTTTGCCATTTTTAATCAATTCTGCAGTGATAGTTATCAGAAACATTTAACCTCAAAATTTGTGGACAACTATTTCAATAATTGGTTCACTTGTTGCGACCCTATTCCAAAAGTCGGCCTTATTCCTGCACAGAGCATATTTCTTATGTCCTTTCTGTTATAAAGTTGGCGCGGTTTTATATAGGTGCACTCAACAGCCGGACAATTACAGAAGAGGAAAAATAAAGTAGACACAAAACCATGTGTCCATTAAAACACTCACGCTCTCTCTCCCCTCTCCCCTCACATGCCCTCTTTTTCTCCTCCCTTACCTGAGCCTGTGTTTATACGCTGGGACACCTCTCTTCTTCCCCCCCGCAGAGCTGAGCTAACACAGAGCTGTCTCCTCCAACCTCCTCGGCCTTAATCAAGCGCTCGTGTCTCAGCGTCGGACAGAGAAAACCTGCCACTACTCGCCAATGTCTATTTTCGGAGCGCCACGCAATTCAATCTGCTCCAACACGGCTCCCTGCGGTGAGGAGAATGAAGGGAGAGTATGTATGTATATGGGGAAGGGGGGGTGGGGGCTCCTGTGCTAATTTGAGGGTTGAGAAGCTATTGGCACCGGGAATAATAGGAGTTAGTAGGATGGTTGTGATGAATTTGTAGAAAGTAGAGATTCATAGCAAAAATGGGAATAGTTTTGAGATATGAGATATATAGAACAGGGGCTCAGTTGGCAGAGCGTTGGCCTTTGAGCCTGAAGGTTGTGGGTTTGAGCCCACCGCGAGACCT